GTCTTTGACAAGTCCTTTTTTAAAAGAAAAAACTAAAAGAATGTCCCCCGCAGTAGATCCAACGTCAATCACGATGCCTGCCGCTGACCCAAAAAAAGAATTTTAAAAAAAGGCTCCGCTCCCGCTGATGGCTTCCAGTCGTCTGCTTCTGAGGTGGCTTGACCATTGATGCCACATGGGGTGGGGTCACATGCGTGATGTCCCCGGGTGGCCCCGCCCCTTACATAGTTAAGAACTGTCAAACCACCAGAGCAGGCAGATGGCTGGAAGCCATCGTCGGGAGCAGAGCTTTTTTTTTAAAATTTTTAAAAAAAAATTTTTAATTCTTTTTTTTGTGACGGCAGCGGGCATCGAGATTGACATTGGATCTACTGCAGGGGACATTTTTTTAGTTTTTACTTTTATTAAAGGACTTGTCAAAGACCGTGTCCTGTCTTTTTTCACACTACACTTTGTTTTTTGTGAATGCATAGGGGTACCATGTACCCTTTACTCATGGGGGGGCGGGATCTGGGGTCCCCTTGTTAAAGGGAGCTTCCAGATATCGATAAGCCCCCTGCCTGCAGACGCTTTGGTGTTTGGAGAAACACCTCCTGCCCCAAAGCACCCCCCCATGTTGAGGGCATGTGGCCTGGTATGGTTCAGGAGGAGGGGGGGCTTGCTCGTCTTTCCCCGCCTTTCCTGACCTGCTGGGCTGCATGCTCGGATAAGGGTCTGGTATGGATTTTTTTTTTTTTTTAATTTTGGCGTGGGAGTGCCTCTCAAAATCCATACCAGACCCGAAGGGCTTGGCATGGATGGGAGGGGGGACCCCACGCCGTTTTTTTTCTTTATTATGGTGCTGTTTTTAAATGTAATTACTGCTTTTTTTTTTTTCTTCACTATAGCTCAGAAATTCAGTTGTCACTTTTCCCCAGCTAAAGGAGAGAGAGCTTTCTTTTAGTTTATTTCCCTAAGTTAAGAGACACAGTGTTTCCTTTTAGTTTCTTAAAAGAAACAGTTTCCGTTAATTCTGGGGAAAGTGACAGCTAATTCTGTGAGCTATAGTGAAGAAAAAAAAAAAAAAAAAAGCCGGCATTTTTAGAATCAGCACTGACATTCGTAAAAAATTTGTAAACCGAGGCATTATTTTCAATGGATTCTCATTTGTAAAACGAAAATTACGTTAACCGACGCGTTTGTAAACCGAGGTATTAGAGTGTGTGTGTATATGTCTTTTAAGGTAGCAAGGGTAGTAACATAGGCAGGATTCGAAAGAATGTGAATACGTAATCACATTATGAGATAATTGTGCAATACATAAGCAAAGCGTACAAAATGGAATACCGTTTTAGACAGAATTTATCAGATCTTTCACAGGTAGCAATGAAAAAAAATAAAGGTCTCTAGAGGAATCTCCAGTACGTCCATTAAAAAAAACCTTGTCTTCTAAAATCACGGCACGTGGTCCTAGTGGTCTGATTCTTTAGTAAAGCCAGTTCTACACGGAGGGTGTTTTAGCTGATTTCTGAAGAACCGGTCGAAATTTGATTAGTGGATGACCCTTTTGATACCACTCCCCTCTAACATCCTAAGATTGAAAAATCAAAGCGCCCCCTTAGCATTTTTGGCTGTGGCCATCTTGAGTAAGGGCAGATGATTCATGTAGCATGTATTTCCTGGAATACATCTGCTCTTAGCTCAGGCAGGAGGGTGTGCTTAGCTGAGAAAACCCCTCCTCCCTCTAAAGGCTCCTGGAATGTATGACATCAGTTGCCTAGGCCTGAAAAACAGGTAGTAAGTGAAGAAATAAAACAAAAAGTTTAAAACCCTTAAATATAATATACTTTTCTATCTATTTACTAATGCTTGCAGCATAAGAATTAAAAATAGTCAGTGTTGATTGAGAGTGACGTTCCCCTTTAACACAGGCAGAACTTTCGCTTTGAACAATTCATATAGATGTGAATAAAGATTTACTTGCTAGGAGTATCCTTGAAGCCAGGTTTTTGAACCTTTAGGCCCTGATGAAGGGGGAGCGTGTGGTCTCTGAAGTGCTTTGGCTGTTTTTTTGGTAATGCTAAAGAACTATTAAAACATTTTTTTTGTTGGAGCTCCTGTTGTATGTTTGTACTTTGGGCCACAAGACTCTTTTTGACAAATAAAAATTATATTCACAGAGCATGTATTTGAAATCTGTATTTAAAGCGGAGCTTCAGGCTCCCCCCAAAATTAAAAGTTAGCAGCTACTTAACTTTTAGTACCAAAAGCTACCCTCGGGATTACCCTGCAGTGTTGCTCTGGGATCCCTCTTGTACTTACCTTGTCCCTGCGCTCCCGTGATATCCCCCCTGCAGCATCCCCGGCCATTTCCTCTGGCCGATGCCGTCATCTGTCTTCCAGGTGCCGTTCTCTTCGAACGTCGGGACGGAACCGGCGGGAAATTTAAACATGTTAAAAAGTGACATTCACTAAATACGCAAAAATCACATAGTATAAACATTACTGTATCAAACCATTTCACATACATTTTGTCCCGAGTGCTTTGTCCTGTGCCCTGCCTGCATTTTTACTGTTCTTTCTGCCTGGAAACTGAGAAACATCCATTGCGTCCAAAAAGCGTCCCTTTAGGTCAAAAGAGGTTTTAGCGATAGTACCGTATATACTCGAGTATAAGCCGAGTTTTTCAGCACATTTTTTGTGCTGAAAAACGGCCCCCTCGGCTTATACTCGAGTCAACGTCTGCAGATGGCTCCCCCCCCCTTCCAACAGAAGGGAAACTAAGTACAGGGGTGGGCAGGGGGCTGCTGTCTCTTACCTGGCTCCGGTCCCACGACGATCCGGTCCAGGAAGCGCGGCTGCTCCTTCGTTCGGTTCGTCCACTGGATGTTCGCGCGGCTGCTCGGCTCCGCCTTCTCACCGGTGATTGGCCGCCAGAACTGTAGCTCAGGAAAGGCACACAGACGGCCAATCACCGGCGAGAAGGCGGAGCTGAGCGGCCCCGCGAAAATCGAGTGAAGGAGATGCAGGTAAGTGTGCCGTGCTTAGGTGCTGCTGCAAGCACATATGCTGGCTGCAGCAGCACCGTACTGGAACAGGGGTCAGCAAGTGTCAGTGGGAGGAATAGTGCCCCATCATTGGTGTCACTGATACCAATGATGGGGCATTATTCCTCCCACTGACACCAACGATGGGGCACTCCCCCCCCCCCCCCCCCCCCCCCCACTGACACCAACGATTGGGCACTATTCCCCCCCCCCCCCCCACTGACACCAATCATGGGGCACTATTCCACCCCCCACTGACACCAATCATGGGCACTATTCCACCCCCCACTGACACCAATCATGGAGCACTATTCCACCCCCCACTGACACCAATCATGAGATACTATTCCTCCCCCCCCCACTGACACCAATCATGGGATACTATTCCTCCCCCCCACTGACACCGATGGGGCACTTTTCCTCCCCCCCCACTGACACCAACGATGGGGCACTATTCCTCCGCCCCCCCACTGACACCAATGATGGGATACTATTCCTCCCACTGACACCAATGTTGGGACACTATTCCTCCCACTGACACCAATGATGGGACACTATTCCTCCCACTGACACCAAAGATGGGCACTATTCCACTGACACCAATAATGGGGTGCTATTCCCCCACTGATACTAATGATGGGGCACTATTCCTGCCACTGATACCAATGATGGGGCACTATTCCTCCCACTGACACCAATGATGGGGCACTATTCCTCCCACTGACACCAATGATGGGGCACTATTCCTCCCACTGACACCAATGATGGGGCACTATTCCTCCCACTGATACCAATGATGGGGCACTATTCCTCCCACTGATACCAATGATGGGGCACTATTCCTCCCACTGATACCAATGATGGGGCACTATTCCTCCCACTGATACCAATGATGGGGCACTATTCCTCCCACTGACACCAATGATGAGGCACGATTCTTCCCGCTGGTGTTCCCACCCTCGGCTTATACTCGAGTCAATAGTTTTTCCCAGTTTTTTGTGGTAAAATTAGGCACCTCGGCTTATATTCGGGTCGGCTTATACTCGAGTATATACGGTAAATCAGAACCACTTGCAGAATTGAGTGATAATGATTTGTGGGGAAATTCATCATCAGACACTGAAAACGATTTTGCAACTAAGCTCAGTGATGTGCGAACTTGGCGCTATATTTCAAATTTCAGTCTTTTTGGCTTGATTATATTATTGAATTAAATTTATTATATTATTTTTTATGATTATTATATTATTTGATTTTGTGTTTCAAATTTTATCATACCCGGGATGTTTACTAGACTCTTGTTCGGACAGATTTCAGTGAGTTATTCCTAAAAATTACAGGCCTACAATAAAAAAGACATATTTCCATGCAAAAAAGTACCGCTTTGAGCACAGAAATACTGACATAATCAGACCACTTAGGGAGTTAATAAAAGAACACTTACCTGTCCAGGGATCCAGCTATTTTCTCACCCAAGCTGATTCTTCAGACTGCTTCGGGTGCAGGTACTGGTATCTTAAAGTGTTACTAAACCCACAACAGTAAAATCAGTCTGTATATGCAGTACAGCATGCTTGTTATACTCATTGTGGAACCTAAAGGATTAATCTTCCATGTTGTTTAAAAACGCTGTTTGATCCTGTCTTCTCTGATCCTCCCTTTCTTCTGTTGTCCCCTCTATCTGCTGATAGTACAGAGCCCTAGGAGTAGTGTGGCTAGAGTCCCTTTTTTCTTTTTTTTTTTTTTTCCTTTCTATGGGAGGGTGCATGTGATCCACACAGGGCCAACCACCACTGTCCAAACAGAGGGTCAGGGTTCGTGCAGCCTCATAGGACAGTCAGAGTAGAATGAAAACTTCTCCTACAAGCTTTAACCAGTGCTCAGCTGGACACTGATAGCAGTCACAAGACTGCTCTAACTGCTGATGAGAAAAGATATTTAGCAGTTTATATTTACTAAAAGAATTGCATTTATGTTGTGTGTACTGTGGGAAACCAAATAAAGTTTAATGCAGGGTCCTGGGTTTAGTAACACTTTAACCACTTGCCCTGCAGAGGATTCACATCCCCTCCTTCCTGACCAGGCGATTTTTTTTTGTGACTGACAATTTTTTTTAACTGACAATTGCATGGTCATACAACGCTGTACATAAATTAAATTTGTCATTTTTCTCCACAAATAAAGCTTTCTTTCTGAGGTATTTGATCGCCTGTGCATTTTTTTTTTTTTTTTTTTTTGTGCTATAAACAAAAAAGACTGAAAATTTAAAGAAAAAAAAATATATATTTTTGACGTTTTGCTAAACATATCCAGTTAATAAAATGTAAAAATCAAATTTCGTCATAAATTTAGGCCAAAATGTATTCTGCTACATGTCTTTGCTAAAAAAAAAAATCCCAATGCATGTAAATTAATTAGTTTATAGGAAAGTTATAACATCTACAAATGGTAGTATATATACTGACATTTTTTTTTTTTATGCTAGTAATGGTGGCAATCAGCAACTTATAGCGGGACTGCAGCGAGCATTCTGACACGGGGGGAGGGGAACTGACTAACTGCCACTGACATCCCAATGATGCTAATAACATGCACTGACACTACTAATGACACTGGGCAGGAAGGGGTTAACATCTGGGGTGATCAAAGAGTTAACTTTGTGCTGTTTTCCAATATGTGCTGTGTGTGTTTTACTAGGGAGACATGCTGCTTTGTATTTCTCTGCTGTGCAGAGAAATACAAATCAGCATGTCCTTGCTGGCAGGAGAGAGACCTGTGTTGTTTACACATAGGTGTCTCCCATCAGCTGTGCCCGATGATCGCCGGCGGGGAATCTCCAGCCGGGACCCAGGGTTTGACACCCCTATCCACCAATTGCGGTGCGTGCGCCCCGAACTGTACATCACGTGTGTATATATACGTGATTTTGTGCAGCCCTTCCACCATGTAGCAGTACTTCTATTATGGGGCGGCGGGCGAGTGGATAAAGTGGAGTTCCACTCACTCTGTAAAAAAAAAATAAGTCAGCAGCTACAAAAACTGTAGCTGCTGACTTTTCAAAAACAGCCACTCACCTGTCCCACGATCCCGCGGTGCCCCCCCGCGCAGCTTGTATCACCGACAGTCCTGTATTCCAGGAGCCGGCATCTTCAGTGTGGGCACCCGGCTGTGACAGTTTGCGGCTTCACAGTCGGGTGCCTACTGCGCATGCGCGAGTAGCGCTGCACTTCCTGAATGGCCCCGTCGTCTTCTGGGACCTGTCACGTGTCCCACAAAACTTCGGGGAGGGAGGGTAGGAGGACAACTTCTGTTTCCGATCGCCTAGGTGATTGCAGCGGAAGTGGGAGCGGGTACCTGTCAATTTCGGGTACCCGCTCCCCAAAGGTGCCAATCCTTAATGGGGAGCGGGGGACCAATCTTTAAAGCGGAACTTCCCCTTTTGGGTGGAACTCCGCTTTAAGTAAGGGAAACGGCAGTGAAACCCCACTGCTGGACATGTCCAAAGCATGCTGCACTTTGTGAATGATCCTGCAGTCTTCTGGGACCTGTGAAGCATCCCTGAAGGCTGCAGGGGGGAGGCGGCGGGATGAAACTCCAGGTCAGATTGCCGCGGCGCATATAACTGGAAGTGGGAACAGGTACCTGTCAAAACCAGATACTCCCCCTCCCCCCCCAACCCCCAAAAAGTCTCAAATGTGGCAGTGCGGGGGGGGGGGGGGGGAGATGAAAACAAGCAGAACTTACCCTTTTGGGTGAAGTTCTCCTTCAACGCTTTGCCTGAAGTCCAACTTCAGAAGATTAGTTCTCAGACATGAACTCTCCTGTTGCAGCTGGAAAGTCAAATGCAGTGACGTGATAATGACAAAGATATGTCATTTTTGTGTTGTGTTGGGCATGTGCTTGTATGATGCTACAGCTTTTGTTGCATGTGTGTTATTACATGACAGCCTCCAGCAAAACTTGCAGCTGCTTACAGAGAGCGTTCACCATCTAACACCACTCCTCCGCGCTTTTCCTCCTGCTTGATTATCTTCATTTATCAGGCAAATTAAAAGCAACATTCATGCACCAAAGATTTGATTTATGGAATCCTTTTCCAACAATACAATCAAATTCCCTTTATCGGTGTCACGTTTATGAATGATTTCATAGTAGGGCTGTGTCAGTGGGCACTGCACTGTGATTGATTACAGAAATTACCGGAAGGAGAAATCTGGAAGATACATAACTTAAAGGGAAGACACAGATAATGCTGCTCACTGTACAGGATCTGCCAGTATCACCAGGGCACGCATTATCTTTTTGGCGGATAATAACGAATATACTTCTACCTACATAATTGTGCAGTTCTAAAATGCTCATTATAGCAAGTGGTGTTAGTTACAGAGTACTCCTAATTATTTAGTATCTTGGATCCTGCAGTGTTACGACTATTCCTGTAATTTGTTCTTGGCTACCTCAACAGCTTTCTTCCTGAAGGATCTATATATTTTGGCTTCAAAATTAACCTGTGACAAACCTCAAATCCAGACCTAGCATACGAGAAAAAAGCAGAAGCAGAGTATACCTTTATTAAAAACAGTACGTCAGAAGCAATGAGTAGATCCAGAGATAGTCTGGTGCAGTTATAATAAAAACGTTATGAATTTTCCGTAGAAGCTGAGCTGGGATCCATTCCTTCCACCTCCATTTGGTGAGGCTGGCCATCACATTAAAGTGTCTGTGAATCTCTAAAATAAAAAATGAACAAAGCACATCCTTCTGTAGTGTGTACTTGCCTTGATCCAAAGCACACTGGTGATTTCTGCCCGCTATCTCATTCCTCTGCTATCTGCATGAGTCACTTCTAACAGTCTATGTGGACATCAAGAAATCCCAGGAGACAGCCTAAGGGTAGGTTCGCATATGTGCAGGTGGTGCCGTTGAGGATTCGCACAAAAATCTGTGCAGCCGCACCACCCGCACAGGAATGCGGACCCGTGGGCAGGTGCCATTAGTTATAATGGCACGCCACCAGCACTGGAAAATGCAATCGTACTGAGATCCGAGGTTCCTGTGCGGGCTGCGTTTTCAGAAGTGGTACAGGGACTTCTTCCCTACGGGGCATGGGAGTCCATTCAAATGAATGGGCTCTCGTGCTTGCGCAAATCGTGGCCTGCACAGCCACATATATGTGAACCAGGGGTAAGCCCTCCTTCAGCACACAGCAGGTGATTGATAGCCTCAGCTTTTCAAATTTCCCTATGAGACTGTGCTAAGGGAGGTGTGTCCTTTCCCTGCTCTCAGGTCTCCGATTACTCAGCTCTTTGATCTATGCCGTGCAGTGTGTGACATCAGATCTCCACCCTCTGTCTTCTGAAGCTCAGAAATTCTTTGTAAAATGTTTGCTTTAGGAGGCCATAGAGGAGAGAGGGCTGCATGGGTACAACTTATGTAGGAATTGTTTCAACTGTAAGCCACCCGAGGCTAGTTATTTCAGTGGGTATATGTCAGGGTTAACAGTCACTTTAACTCCTTGCCATTTGGCCATTAGATGCTATGAAATGCCAGAAGCTGGAGGTAATCACAGTGATTGGCTCTCACAGGATCGGGAGTCTGTCCCTGGCTCCTTATTGGAAATGGTGACAGGGAGCTGTTGCAGACAGCTCAATCACTGCTTGGAGCACCGAGTGAGCATGCTTGTAACACAAAAACTATAGTCAGTGTATGCAGTGCTGCAGAGGAAAACCCTCTTCTGTGACGTGGCCTATATGTGTGAGCTCGGCGAGAATGTTTAAAGGTCTGAGACTTGCCTATAACTTCAGCTGGCAGAATCTCAGTAATTTGTTATACGTTTTTCTCTAAAGGTTTATATATGCTTTTTTTTTTTTTTTCTATGCTCAAATTTAACTGGCTAGTTCCTAACTGGTCCAAAAAAAAAAATAGTTGTAATATTGGCATAACATTTCATAGTTGTCAATTGTCTCTAATTTTCTAGGGCTATCCAAGATTTGTCACTGTTTTTTGGCCTGTTCAGCCACTCTAGATATATATACACACCACCCACTGCCACATTACGTAACAAGGATGGTGACACCCCTCTGTTTATTGCAGCAGCTTCTTGGGTCACTTGATAACTACAGTATGGAAAAGCATTAAGCTGACCATACATTATTTGAATCTTGACCGATTTTAGCAGGGACCGGCTGAGATTCGATACGGACAGGCCCGAGTGTACCCAGTTTGATTGTTGTACGACATGGATGCTTCCAGCCTGTTGGGTTCCTTCATGTGATTATTGCCAACTGCTATAGCTGCTAGCAATAATCACTGTGTTCTCTCTGCAGGCATGCCCCCCCCCCCAATGCTGGGAGAGCACAGTAGCTCTGCAAGAAGGATTCCCCCATCAACACTGATTGTGTTGATGGGAAAATCGAGAGATTTTCTTTCCTGCAAACCGTGGTTGCAGGAATGGAATGAAAATTGCATAATCTATGGCCAGTCACTTGCTGAGTATGCAACTCCGTTCATATAGTGAACTCGGTGTAGAGCTATTCACCCTGAGGTCATCACAGAGGACAAGGGGGAACTCTTTACGTCTGGAGGAAAAGAAATGTAATCTCCAAACACGGAAAGGTTTTCTTCACAGTGAGATCTGTGAAAATGTGGAATAGACTCCCTCAAGAGTTGGTTCTGGTCAGCTCAGTGGATTGCTTTAAAAAAGGCCTGGATTGTTTCTTAGATAGAATATAACTGGATACTAACATTTATAGGTAAAGCTGATCCAGGGAATATCCGATTGCCTCTCGGGGGATCAGGAAGAAATTCTTTTTCCCAGCAGGAGCAAATTGGATCATGCTTTGCGGGGGGGGGGGGGGGGGGGGGGGGGGGGGGGGGGGGGGGGGGGTTTTTTTTTTGCCTTCTTTTGGATAAACTGTATAGGATTATAACTTTTTTTTTTCTTCTATGGTTGAACTGAATGGACTTTTGTCTTTTATCAGCCAGACTAACTATGTCACTTTAACTTTTAATCCTTACCTATGA